AAGACAAGAGGCAACGGGCAGAAACTGAAGCACAGGAAGTTTCACCTGAACATGAGGAAGGGCTTCTTTAGTGTGCAGTGACTGCACACTGGAACAGGCTGCCCAGAGCGGGTGTGGACTCTCCCTTGCTGGAGATGTTCAAGAACCATTTGGACACAACCCTGTGCCATGTGCTCTGGGATGACCTTGCTTGAGCAAGGGAGGATGGACCAGATGACCAACTGTGGTCCCATCCAACCTGACCCATTTCATGAAATACACAAACCGAATAATAAATGAGGAAGCCTTAAACATTAATGTTTTATTTACAAGTAAAAGTATAACACTGCAATGAGTATTGATGAAATATGCTTTAATTTTATTCCTGAATTTTAAAAAGAAAGGGCAGCCATCTAGATCCTGATGATCACAGCAGTCTCTTGTAAACTTAAAGAAAGCAGTTGGAAATCAATTAGGGCACCTATTTTCAAAGAAAGAAAAACCCAACGGATGTTTTTTACCCCTCCACTTCCACAATGGTCAGTAGTGAACCTTGCCTCAAAATATCTTGCATACTGGATCAAAACACTTTCAGTATTTCCTATCATTAAATTGGTTTGAACCAAAAGACTTCCTAGATGTTCATTCTTAACACTAGTAAGTAGATTTTGAACCTAAACATGCTGAAGTGAAAACAATGCGGGGGGATTAAATCCTGGCATGTTAATATTCAGGAAGCTTTTGTTTTTCTTTAAATATACAACAGAAGCAAAGAAAGATGCTGAATTCTGAAGTGAACCTACACCAAACTTGCCTCCCTCACAGCAGCACTGTTGCTGTTCTATTGGCAATAAAATCTTCTCCTGTGAAATGCAATTATTAGTTTAAAACTCATTCAGCTGATGAGATGCCCCAATCTAAGAGGAATAGATTTCTTAACTACAGCTGTGACCAACTGGCTGCTAAACAGAAAAAGGACTGCTATTGCCATCTCTGTGATGAGGCTCCAGGGGCAATGCTGCGGTTGTTGGCACCCTTCCTGAGGCTGAGAATCACAACAAACCAAGCAAAACACATTGTGACTGGCGACCAGTTTGTTTTTATGGACTGACAGGATGACTGTAGGCACAAACACATTGACTGCAACTCTCAAAGACCATAATTTAAAGTTATCTGTGATTACATGGATCTTCCATACACCCCACCAAATTATGTAACAAACCTATCAATGCTTACATTGCTCTTAACTACATTTCAAAATAATCAGTGTAATCTACATAGACTACAAGCACATATGGAAAAAATGAAGCCATTAGAGACTAATCTACACACAGTTCAAGAAGTAATTTAACTACATCAGTTAAATTTAGAAGCTGATTTATTTAATCATTGCGAAGGCAACCAAGATTTAAACCTCATCCTCAAGCAGATCCCTGTGCACTAGCTGCATAATTCAGAGGGAAGTTATTATGATGCCAATCACAGAAAAGTTCAGAGAAGAGGCCAATGACTGCATTTATTTGCAGAGATGAAAATTTCCCAGTCTCAGACAGTGATAACAAAGAATATTTCTATATGTGATGAGCATGCTAAGGCTCTCACAGTGCAGACACCAGTTTTAATGCAGAAAGGGAAGAAATTTGCTAACATCACACCCATTTTGTCAGGCTGCAATTTAATTCAACTCCATGCAGTCAAGTCCAAAATGTAAATAAGTGCATACTGAAAAGAGTTTAACCCCAGAGAGGCAAGAGCTAAGCCAAAATATTCACCCTCTCCTAACATCAAAATCTGATAGAAACCAAGAAAAGCCTCATCAAAAATGCATGTACCTGAAGATCAAAATCTGTGATCATTTCTCTATTCTGTTTTAAGTTAGTCTCTCCCAAAACCAGTTCCACCTCATTTTGGCTTTACCATTTGCAATGCAAGAATTCTGCAATACTTTTGCCTCTCTCATAGGTCTTTTCCCACCCCTGGGAGACCACTGGGAAAACACTGTCCTGCTACTCCCCCCATCCACCATTATGCAATTAGTGATCCACAACTTTTGGCTGGTCAAGTAGTCCAAAAACCCTCCACCTCTCTCCAGAAACTACTTCTCTCCTGCCCAACCTACTTTTCACACTCAGTCTGTCCCATTCTGAAATGCTGCTTTCCTTCAGGGGACTATTCTTAATGGTTTGTTTTAAATCAAATATTTAAGTTACTAAATAATTGTATAATTTAGCAGCCAGATTACACGACTGAAAAGTCAGACAGTACATGCAAAAGTCTTGGCACATAAATTTGGTTTAACCCTGACTGAAAATATCCAAGCTGCTTTCCCAATAAAAGTGTTTCTAAAGACTGGAGTATTATCCACACAGCAATCACAAACATAATTTTAACCTTTTTTTTTAAAAACACGTAAGTGAATACACAGTATTTTTATCTGCCAAAATAAGTGTAAAGGTGTATTTCTTAGAATTGCTTGTATGTGACGACAAATGAATCCTTCTGGTAGTCTATTGAATTGACAGCTGGGGCTAGTAAGCATCAGAGGCTGTTTTCAAGCCTTGCATCTGGTATTTCATTCCTCACTGCATGCTCTCTAACTTTCTTTGTGGACGACACTTTTGTACCATAGTGTTGTAGGTTTATAATGGACGTTTAGAAAAGCCAGTGCATGCTACTCACACCGTATGGCATTTTAAGCAATCCACAACTTTTACAAACATTTAATATAGTGTTTTTATCAACCTGACAACTTTGGGGAGCATTTATATTAGCAAAACACAGCAGGAAATCCAGAGAAGCAAGACAAGGCACAACTATAATCGAAGTGACAAAATGAGTGACTTAATTTCAAATTCAAATGCCTTACTACACATGAAGGTGAATTAAGCTGTTTAATATTTTTATTGTGATTTGCAAGTGAAATTCTTTGAATAGGAATTTAAAAAGAAAATACATTACATTTCTGTAGAAATCAACCATTATTTTAAGTACAAGTTTCACATTTTATTGATCAGGTAGTTTCCAAATTGTGCATCAAATCCGAATGTTTGTGATACATGAATGATCAATGTTCAACCAAAAATTAGAATTTGTTTACTAGAATTAGGTTTTAATATTTTTAAAAAAACTTAAAGGTTGATATTTTCAAGTATGTTCAGCATTGTCTTTATAAAACCATCAGTTACATTAAACTCCAGACTAGTTGAACACTTGACACTTCAATTAAACTCTACATGAAAGCTGGGCTTAAACTGCACAAAGAACAGAAAACGCTTGATAAAACTGCACTGAGAATGAACAGCAAACATCTCAAAATAATTTCTGAAGTTTTATTAATGGATATAACCTAGGTAAAATATTCCAAAACCAAGGGTCTTATTCCTGTAGTAACTAATTTCTATAGCTCCCCGTAAATAAAAGCAATGATGTTCCCATGCAGCATCAAACGCAACTGAAATATAACAGTGCTGTAACACTCACTGCTTCATTAAATAATAAGCTAATCTAATAACCTAGTAGTGAAGCATATTTTCAATTTTAGATACATCTATTTGGTTTACCTTTTTTTTTCTACAGACTACTTACTTTCCCTGACACATTTCCTCCACTTTTGACATTTACAGCAAGAGATCTTTTTTCCAAACAATTTCAGAATATTACCATTGATTTACCTTTCCATTTAATGGGTAATGCAAGAGGGGTAAAGGGGGAAAGAGTGGGTTTTCTTTTACCCTTCTCCTTCAAAAGCTATTACCATAACTCTCCACTCCAGTGTGCACCATATTGCTTCCTTATTCTTTCATTACTCAAAACAGTTTCCTACTTGAAATTTGTGAATGCACACATTTTCCAGAATTCATTTTCCTAACTTAAAGTAAAATCTCTTTCAGAACATATATGCTGAAAAGCATCTTGAGTATCATCAGGCATATCCCCAGAACTCAAAACTGAAACAAGCATAAGTGAATTTCAGCTGAGTGGGATAAAGTGTGGCAAAGGATCATAGCCAGGGATACAGACAGAGTCAGCTCTAGGACACAGGAGAACAGAATCCTAAACAACAGTCTCCTAAAGCACTGCTGCATACTTTGCTGTTTCTCAGAGACCTTGACGCAAGGCTGGCCATGGTTTCTGGCCAAGGCAGCACTGTGGTGTGCAATGCAGGAAGTCTCTCTTACAGGCAGCTAACACTACTGTTAACCTCAACCTCTCAGGAGGAAGAGCAACAAATCTGCCCTTCAGCTTCTTCCCCTGCTCAAAAACTTTCTCTCTCCCACTGCAGACACCAACAAGCTGCAGCTCGCTGTAAACACACACATGCACACACTTATCAGCTTACTCATTGTAACAAAATTGTCTGCACTTTGCCAGCAGTCCTTCATTAGCACCCCCAGGTGTGTCCCACCTCTGATGTCACACAGTGAGGGAAGTGCTATTCTTCCAGCAACGCCAACAGATAATCCTTATCTAAAGGTCCCTGGTATTGAGTGTGGCAGCTGAGACAGACTGGGGCAGGGAAATATTTCCCCACATAGCTAGTTTAATATCAATAAATACAAATCTTTTATTATCCGTTGCACTTTGATGCCAACAAACATTCAACTTCAGCAGATTTAGTTTAAATCTCTTAGACAATACATCAACAAAATACAGATTATACAGGGTAAAAGTAATTAACAGATGCAAATTTATAAATCCAGTAGCTCATGAACAACCATGAATAAAGTAAATTTATTTCGGTTTCTACACAATAAGATTAGTATTTAAACGCTACCAGTCTCCTGGGTGAACAATGCTTTTGACATTTGTTTCAGGGCCTAATACAGCACATCTTCAATATCACAAAAATATAAACCTCCTTCCAAAGGCTAACTCAAAACTTTCTGGACAAGTTTCTAAAATTCATCACTGGTCTTCAGTTTGAGGGACTTATCACAGTCATCCAAGCTATTTAATAGATTTACACAAATGCAAAGTAAGTGACAAGGAACGTTCAGCAAGAGCTCTCTTGAACAACTTACCATTTAAAAAGGAGCGTGGAATATCCGTACTGTCTACGCCTCTGAGAAAACAGCTGCTCTCTAACTTCCTGGCACACTCAGGTGGCTTTTTCTGCAAACAAAGACAAATCTAACTCAGCCTTTCAGTAACAGAATAATTAAAAATATGCATTAAAAGTGGGGCTCGCTTCAGTGATCAGCTAAAAAAAAAAACTTAGTAAAATATGCATGAGTAGAATCCAGACAGCTTTAACCATTTTGTGCTAAATATTTCATGATACAGCCTAATTTTTTTTCAAGGTAACAAAATAGCTTGTGTTATTTTATAATCAATTTTTAAATAGAAATATCAGCAGAGAAAGTAACATTTACCCACTTGAAGACTGTGGGGATGGAAAAATGATGTAACAGCCTATAGTAATGCACAATAAAACAGCAGTCTTAAATCCCTCTGAGATTCTTCACAACAAATTAAATACTACTGAACAGAAACCCACTAAAACAGACTAAAAAAAAGGCAATGAGAATTTCTTGCAAAAATTAAGTAGTGAGATGTTTCCATGAAAATATTACAGTTCCTAGCATCAACAGAACATTGTGACTTATACATTAGCATTTAGTCATACACTAAATTTCTGTAAATTAAGGGGTTTTGCAGTTAAGATATAAATGCCCTTTCTACAAGAACTATATAAAAATGATCTCTAAAACAGATCACTTGCTTTGAGGAGGCTGATACTACTACCAGGATTTTAAAAAGGTGCTACTCTGCATTTTTTTGCCTAAATAATTTAGACAATTAAAATTTACAAGAGGAAAAAAACTACTTTATCTCAAGGACACAATTATAACCCGTGATGTATAAGAAAGACAAAGCAACTAGAAGAGCAAGACACTGTTAAAGTCACCACAGAGATTTCGCAAGGGCAAGACAGCAGTGTCCTACTTGCCCACTGTCACCACCTGCCTTGCTCACAATCCTTCATTCTCCCTCAGAATACCAAAGCTTTAAGGTGCCCAGACCTTGATTCCACTAACCACTGGTGCAATAACCACCTATTCCAAATAAAATATTGGCCTCTAGTTAACCTGCTCACAAAAATCTACCAGTTGGCCAAGGTCTTGGTCCTCACTTAAGTGTTTATGTGCTTAGAGACAAATTAAAGACACACATTATAAAGGCTCACATATGTACAATTCATTCATGTTCTCATTACCAGGACAGGTGAACTATATGGGGAAAGCTATTTGCCTAAGTTAACACAAGATGGACGTGGAGGGCCACAATGATTATTAGAGGGGCTAAAGCACCTTGTCCTATGAAGACAGGATCCTAGACAAGAGAAGGCTCCAGGGAGATCTTACAGCAACTTCTGGTACCAAGAGGAGACCAACAAGAGAGCTAGAGATGGACTTTTCACAAGGACATGTAATGAAAAGACGAGAGGGAATGGCTTTAAACTGAAAGAGGGTACGTTTAGGTTATATACTGGAAAGAAATTCTTCACTGTGAGGACAATGAAACACTGGAATGGGTTGACCAGAGAAGTTATGGAAGTGTTCAAGGGCAGCTTGCATGGGGCTTGGAGCAACCTGACCTAGTGGAAAGTGCTGTGCCCACGGCAATGGAATTGGAACTAGATGTTCTTTACAATTCCTTCCAATCCAGGCCACTCTGTGATTCTGTAAGTGACTTCAACCAGCAGTGATTTAAGCATGCTTGTGCCTCAGGAACAGTAAATCTGCTTTAGAGCAAACAGCACGACATAAACAACACTATGGAACAGACATCATAGAGCACTTATAGCACAAGGTGACTGGAACTTTATATAGATCTTAAACCCTCTAGTACTACCAGGGTATCTGAGAATGTATTTACACATTACATTATCCTCAGCAGCAAAGGCACTTTAGGAAGTTCTCAGTTCCCCACACGAGTGGCACATTTTTGTGCACGTGCTGCAGTTTACTGCCATCATTTACATTTACACACTGCCTGCAGTGCTGCACTACATAAACAGGATCCCTGAATTTGTGATGAGAGAACCCCTCACTCAGATCAACAACACAGAACCTATACAGTGATGGAAAGAAAACTGAGAACTACCACACCGTGACGACAAATCTCAGCTTTCACAGTGAAAATCAAATCAACTATGTTGACATGTATTTCAGTATAAATCCTTACCTGGCTAAATAAAAACATCAAGACATGGTCAATGTCAAGCAGTTTTAGATCTTTGCTTTGCAGATTTTTGATTATTTTTTTAAATAGAATATTCAAAAAGGTCTAAGATAAACCAGAGACAAAGTGTTGGACTCTCTATGTGTTTCACATTTAAGATACATAGCTATGATGAAAACACAAGATACAGGAAGGAAAATATAATTTGGTACACCACTAACAGTCCAGCAATACCTACCTACTGCCCAACTGTGAAAACACACGCATTCCCTTTTGAATGGATTCTTTCTTTCCCATGAAATCCCCAAGAGGGGAAAAAAAAACCAAACAACAAAAGCATTATAAAAAGATTCTTGCTCATTATCAAGAGCATCACTGACTCCTCTGCCAAGTGACCCATTTGACGCATTCACTGACTAAATTACAGAAAGTACTGAACAGTTTCAACAGGATAAGAACTTAGACATGCAGAATGTGTAACACTGACTTCTGGTAAGAAATTTATATCCAGCTGAATTGTGTTTAAAGTCAATATTTTAAAGCTTTCTAAACAAAACTCCTAGAAATGAGGATATTATAGGCAAGCAATTTGAAGAACAAGATGTATGGCACACAGAGGATTACTTCAGAAATCCACATGAAAAAAACCATAAAGGATTTAATGTAAGACATAACTTTTACACAGATTGAGGATTAAAAGTATCCAAATGGCAGGTCATCATGAAAATGGTGAAAAAAGGATTCTATTTTGAAGTCTGCTTTCTGGGGTAGGGGGAGGGGTTTTAAAATATGTTTTCATATATGGAGACTCAAAGCTTACCACTCTAGTATGAATTCAAGTAACTGCATTACGAATGCATACACACAAAAAATGAAGTTATTTAAAACTTCAGTACCCATTTGCCTTGTTAAATTTGTGCATGTATTCAATCTCAAAAGCATGAAATTCAATCTTAGAAACTACTGTAACTCTGCAACACACGTTTGGAAAACCCAGACAGGTTCTGAAGTCTTCAAAGAGTAGAACCTCCCATCAATTAGTGGTTAGATCCCCCTTGATCTTATGCACTTCTAGAGTGGGATGGGGGCTTTTCTGCATAGGAGCCATGCAATCAGTTACTTAAAACTGAGGGGCCTCTCAGTAACACATCTAAGCAGCTTCCATAAGATTGATCAAGACAACTCAGACGTTTCTTATCTTTAACTCTTTAAACTAGATTGTTCCATATCCCAGTCTTAAATCTGAGCACAGAACAGGAGCAGCATAAAGACATGGCAACTCATGTTTTCCAGGTGTTCTTTAATTAAAGAGTCACTCACTGTTGTCTAATCCATGAGCCTACAACTCATGTTTTCCAGGTGTTCTTTAAAGAGTCACTCACTGTTGTCTAATCCATGAGCCTCTGCAGTATCCAGAAATGCAAAATTACTTGAGATAAACACTGTACTTGGAGTGGAGAGAGCAGCCTGCCCTTTGACAAGCCCTCAAGGGATGCTTTCCCACTCTGCATCTTCTTGAGAACCACTCTGACAGTCAGACTTAGTCACCACACCCAGTGTGTCCTTTGCCACCAATTCCTTCCAAGGAACAAACAAGTTCAAGTTCTTGAAATTTTTCTTCAGAGCACAGGCAGATAAAGTAAAAAAATCCAACCTGTGTGGAGTACCTGGTGATTCTTTTATTCCATTTCACTCACTGGATTATGGTACAAATATTCACTACTTGACTGAGTATAGCAATCCTTCAGTACTGGACAGAGGAAACCCATCTAAACAGCAGGCTTGCAAAATCCTACACATCCTGTGGAATTTATCTGAGGTTAAACACTTGATCTTCAGAGATTTTGCAATCTACAAAAGCCAGCCCATCAAGCCTACAAGCCAGCTAGTAACAGCAGTGGTTCGTCAGACATTCTTTGCTGGTAAGAAGTGTGACCATCCCTACATCTATCACCTCTTTGGTGTCTCAACAAGAGGCCTGCCCAGGACTACACTCTTCTGTGGTCAGCACTGACTCTTTACGGCAAATTAAACCCTGTAGATCTCTTGCCTTTGATCCAAAAAGAGAGGGTTCTTTCACCACCAGGAAAGACAAAAGGCCAATACCTCTGAAAAGGAACAGATTTCAGATGGGATATCAATATCAAAATGTTTTCAAACACTTGAAAAGGTTTGCTGGTAGCGTTCACCAACCCTAAATTCTCCACAGATAACACCCCTAATATCACAGTACAAGTCTTCCGTGTATCAGCCTGCTCCATCTCCCAACACAGCCCTGCACTCTTCTCCAGAAGGTGAGAGTATACATCTTTACAGAATAGCAAAGAGCTCCCTCCCAGCTCCACTCCTAGCCTGTAGAGATGTCTCCCTAATGCCTCACTAAAGGAATGCTGATGCCTTTACTCAAGTGGATCCCCACTCTCAGGTAGCAACACTAAAAATGGGTCATCCTCAGCAGACTGCATCCCTAATTTCAGTTGTTACCCACCCAGCATTACACAGCACAGTTTTTCAATTACTAATATTTAAGAATATGTTTCCTCAAATAGAAAGGTCCCTCAAACTGTACTTTCTGAAGCATTCAACCTCACTTCTTGCTGTTAGCAGGCACTGCTAAAAAGCATGAACATCTAGACAGATGCTTTGTGTAAGTACTCCAGACAGAAAACCTGTGGGTTCATTAAGGGGATTAGTCCAAGGCTAGGTGATGTGACTTTCAAGTTAAATGCTTCATTAAAGCATTTAACTTGAAAGTCACATCACCTAGCCTTGGAATTAGGTGACAAAAGCAATCAAAAAATATTGTCAGGTCATTAACAGCCAAAATTCAAATCAAATACCAGATTTCACCTTGTGCTGAACAAAACTTAATATTTTCTTCACCTATACATCTCCAAAAATAGTATAGGGTCATGCAGGTTGTACTC